TCAAAATCATATCCCACTAACATCGAATCCCATCGTTGTAGATGGCGGAATGCCCAACTTTGATCCAAAAACAGCTTGCAGCGGTTTATGGTCGGTCAGTGACATGAATTTTCTACCATAGACAAGCTTATCGAAACGACATACAGCGAAGACTAGGGCAAAGGTTTCTTGCACAATTTGTGTTTGCGCCCTGCAGCATTCAATATTCAAGATGCTTGTATTATAGCTTTTTCATTTCTATCCCCAAAAACGTAGTTTAATTGCGCCAACTCCATAAGGGGAAGCATCTGCCCGTATAACAATCGGCAATATGCGGTCGTAATGGGTCAATAAAAAGTCAGATGACAACATAATTTTTGGTTTCTAGAAAGCTGATGCACATTCTTGAGTTCACTTCCATGGAGCATTCTTACTGAGGTTATTTACTGGTGACAGTTGGAAGAAAGGTGGAGTAGTAACTAAGTCACAAGAAAGGACGTAGTGAAGCATCATCCATTGGTTCTGGTATGGATGTTCTCCGGATCTGGACGACGAGCGGAAGAATCAAAAACTAATCTAAGAAATTTCACTAAATGCAGGACGAACTGGCATTTCTCGGGGTGAATGCGTAGTTCATTCTCTTTTATTCGTTGTGTTGCTTGTTCATTGCAATGTTGAAGCTGTGTTGAGGAGGCTGCAACAATAAGGATATCGTCAAGGTATGCAACAACTGTTTTACCAGATAATATCGTGTCAAGGATTTGAATTGATCATCGGTGATGGACCTCAGCTTGAATTTTTTGCATTCACATATATGAGAAAATCATTCTCGTTCATAACCAGTCTGAGACAATAGTACATAGCATTGAAAATTGAGGCATGATCACAAAAAATTTTGTCTTAGGGTCTAAATTATAGCGTCAAAGGAGCGATCTCTTGAGATCTATGACAGTATAATATTGAAATACTGATCTAATTCAAACGGACCAAGTTTTTGAAGGAAATATAATTTCCATGAATCATCTCTGCCATTAATTGATCTGAAAAAGTTGCTACGATCCACTCGTGCTTTCTTACTGCTTTCTGACCAGGAATGGTTGTCTAAGCACACTTGAAACAGAAGATGACCATTATTTGTTGGTGCGGCTGGGATTTCGAATGTTACCTACCTAAGTGCCTTTCTAACTGAATTAATCCACCCGTTTGTGCTTTAAAATCACCTTCTATGACCACATCTGAATGTTTGGCTTTCAGTAAGAGGCTAGATTGTTTTCCATAGAACTCTCCTTTACTTTGTCTGAATTGCAGTCAATGGGCGCATAAATAGAAATTACAAAGAGGTAGTGACGAGTTTCACTATTATTTTTGGTCCTCACTGCACTGTTTAGTTTTACGGAATACACTCAACTGGCACCCAGTTGAGCAGTTCACTTTCTGCCGTAGCAGTCAATGCTACACCTGCAAGAGCACGAGATCTAGCCACTGACACTCCAGAAACTCAGGATGTGTTACAGATCAACCACATTGAACAGGTGAGGTTAAATGACTAACCTTACTTAGGTACTGTATATGTGTCTCACAAACTTTACCCATGTCCATGGCCTGCTATGTCAGATTTTAGCTGGTTGGCTCATTTGGCGGAGGACGAAAATCTCAAGGCTCCAATATATGGTTTGGAGAGTGGTTTAAAGAGACTCGGGATGTTGTTCTGTTAACTTGGATCGTTATCGTGAGCTGCAGAGCTGGAAGAAACTAGTGGTAACGTAGGAATATGGACCGAAAGATGTCCAAAACGACAGGATGGCGTAGAAATTGAAGGTTGATAATGTTGTAAAAAGACTTGAGTACTGACAGTGTGAAAGGTTGCTTCTCCTTGAGGTACCTAAAAAGAAACCGCGTTGGTAGTAGTGGTATGTGACCACATTGACATCTACTTGGCACTGTGTACGTCGCCTTTTTCAAAGATTGAGACTTAAGTTTTTTTAGAAATCCAGCTATTAACCGTTATAGTCGACACTGAAAAAGCTTAGGATAGGTGAGAGTGTACTATTTTTGACACTGACCTTTTCTAGACTCTCTTTCGATAGTGAAAGCAGCATCAGCATATTACTGCTAGTCATCTGTGGGAAACACCTTACCGTTGTCACAACTCCGTCCAACCAGAAGTACTACTTCGCCCCGTACCCACATCAAAGTATAGCAGTCTACACTATAACGTTAACTGCTTTCCATCTTACCACCATCCGTCAGACTTCTGTGATATTGCAAGACCTCAAGGGAACAAGTTTTCCCAATATTATAGCTTGGGTCATTGTGCGAGCCAAACCATCACGTCAGAGTGGTAGCTATCGGTCGACATTTTGTGTCGGGACCGAGATTTCGTCAGCGACCAACCGATTCGGGTTGATGCAACTTCCCAAGTAAGTGAAGCAGTCAACACATCTCATTCTATCCCTATGCATAAACTGGAAGTAGTCGCAAACTGAAACATCCTACATTAAATATATACTAAACTCATACCAAACATACTCAAACTTTTGCTCAAGGTATTCAAAAGACCGTGCACTTTTGTCAATGTCTTCACGTAACAGGACAAAATCATCTACGTATTCCAAGTCAACCAGATGTCTTCTAGTCAGTAGATCAACCTGTACAAAGTCGAAAGTACCTAGGACTTTATCAATTAGCACGTTTATAAGAAAATTGACTAGTATTTGTGACAGTAGTTTTCCCTGGAGGGCATGACTCATCGTCGTTGTTTCAGGTGAAAACTACCCATTTGACCCTACGCAGTTGTGCGAGTTCGAGTAGAGAGCTTGCTCGGTACTCGCAATCAAAAACACTGCCACAACACCGCTTGATGTACAGAGCTAAATGCCGTCTTAAGAACAGGAAGTATGACAAGTGTTGGGCATTGATGCGCATGTTTCAAAACCTATCGAAATGTGAAGATCAGGTCAATGCACTCTCTCCCAGGTCTGAAACCTGGATGATTTTCTCAAGCTTGCTGTCCTCGAGCTCCAGTTAGGCGTCAGTTAACTATGAACCCTAGGGTCTGGGGGACGATGTTAGTCAATGTTGTCACAAGAATATCCTTTTTGTAAACTGTTGTCGTCACTGATGTAGACCAGTTTGATAGGACTGCTTGTGGTCCTCATAGTCAGTAATTCACTCCTCTCCTTAAAATCTTCTGATGACTAACCGTCAAGTCCTGCTGCTTTGCGTCGTTTAAGGTTTGAGACAGCCCTCTCAACTTCACGGATATTTGGAGAACCGACATTGCTGTCCCATTCAGTTTGAGACTGGATGCTGGGCAACTAAAGCATAACTGTAGACCAGTTGAACTGTTGTCCTAAGTTTTCCGCCAAACATTCTTGAGAGGTATCAAAGACCCATCCTTTCTGGTGATGACCTCAATAACCCTTGTCTTTGTTTTGTTAAGTGGTGTTTAAATACCACAGAGTATTTTGTGGGGCTGTGACTCAGTGATTTAGGAAGATGACTATAAGCTAGTGGGTCATGGGTTTGAACCCCCTCATTTACCGAGGTTTGGCCATCGGGTAGTATCATTAGTCCCTACATAATAGGTATGGCTCATTGCTTACTGCACGATTATGAACGATGTTGCTGAGTAGGTTTCATCTTCGTTTTTCCAGAGTATTCTGGGTACCGTAAACAATAATGTAGAAATTTGGAATGGATTCGTTTTACCTTCAAATACAAATTGTGTACACTGTCAGCGAGTGCATTGATCACTTCCTTTACCTGGTTAACTTATTAGCCGACAAAGACTTCGTATTTACGTGTCTAGACCACTTTTAACAACTATCAAGAGTAGGGAGGGGGTATTCTCTGTCTTAAATGTGTGACTCAGAAAGTGTGGAATTTGTGAATATAACTTCTAAACCACTAATTCCTTTGATGCATGATGTATATTTGAAGCAGCCACTGGGTAGACAGCACTGGTGTCAGGTGGAGAGCACAGTGAGAAACTTAACGTTACAGACCAGCTGACAGGTATTACCTGCTTATGTATCTTCTACGTCAACTTTTTCACCCTAGACTTTTTTTATGCTTCATTAACAGTAGGATGATCAAACCAGCAGGACACTGATTCAGTCTTCGACTGTGTAAATAACTGGGAGCGTCCTGATCGGATTGTACCAAAAAACCGGTATCGGTATCTGAAAAGTAAGCTATACAGCTTAAAATCAATCACAGTGACTGAGGTAGACCTACGTCTGCATTTTTTTAATGATATAATCCACTGATATCTTGAAAACTATTTGGTAGTTTTAACGTTTTTACGGATTACTTCCATCGTAAATTACTAGTGAAAAATGTTTTCCCCTCATGTAACGTCGTTGACTCTTTTGAGTCACAAAGATCATAAATTCTTAAGCGTTTTCTCATTTACTAGAAGAATCAGTTTCCTCGCTGAACAAACAAACGAAGCAGCCTACTTATCCGTCGATAAAATGGTCATATGTCAACCATTTCAGTCTGTTTATTAAGTTTGTCATACAGTGAAACAGTATTACTATAATATGAATACAGACAATAAACTATGGTAGTTGCATGGAAGCGATCGGCAAGAAGTCATGAACCTAGGTTTCAGGCTTGTTGGCGCTCGTCAGCAAGGCGTATCTGTAACCCCGACGGAACTGAAGCCCCGCCTAGGATTCGAACCCGCGTCACCTAGTGTTGTAATCAGCGACGTTACCACTGAACTATTCGGCCTGCAAATGACCTCCTGTTGAACTGGGTTAGATACATTGATTGGTCACTGGAGTGACCAATCAGTGTGCAATAAATTATGTGCGAAACGTTATCCAGTATATAATGCTGTTTCACCATGTGACATCGAATAAATAATCTAAGATAGAATTACCACAGTGCTCAAATTTTACTCTTACATATTGTACCATGTTTTCTAAAAATGATAAAGTTCAGATTTAGACTGTTTCATATAGACCTATAATACCTAAAAATTTATCTTCACATTAACTCCTTTATTACAGAGGAGACACGTGCAACAGAACTTACCCCAGAGGCACCTTTAGAGGCTGCTTTAGCATTAAAGCTGAAAGGCAATAAATTTTTCAAGGGTGGACAGTACGCTCAGGCAATCAGTTTATATGATGAAGGACTTGAGAAATGTCCTGTTGAAGCAGTTCAGGTGAGTAAAGTTATCATATTTCCACTTATTTTAACAATGTGACAAATACAGTTAGTTGCTTGTTGTTAACATTCTTGTAGTTTCTAAATATAAAGATGTAATTCATGGGCTTAGACACTTTTGACGTGAGTTTTAACATCGTTTAGTCTATCAGCTGGTATTATTAACCGTCACATTAAATGTGGTTTATATCTTGGTACTTGGTACAGAAACTTGAACTCGGTTACTGAGTCGTATAATTAGTATTTTGTTTAACCATCTTGGATATTAAGTAGATTTCCCAAGTTGGTATTCATCATGGACTAACGTCAGTTGGGGAAACATTGGAAACCTGAGAGCACTGGACAACTGTCTCGTCCTTGTATGAGACTCCTTAGCAGTGCACACCCATGGCCTTCAGGTTCCGTGGCCAGCACGTTACCATTAAGCCACTGGGTCAGAATCGAATAGTCCATATTTCCAACTTCTGGCGGTTCACGACGTAGCGCGACCATCACCCAATGTCATCATAGAGTATTTGTCCTCATGGCCACTAGGTTTTCCCCATCAGTCAGGACTTCTCATTGGAACTTCAAGAAACACCTTTCGAGGCTAGTCACCAATAGGCACTAGATCAACTTAATTTGGGAGTTTATAGGGATTTAGTGATTTTTCAAGTTGGACTGACATCACTGACACCAACTTGAAAAATGACTAAATCCCCACACACACCCCCCCAAAAAAACTAAATGGGTTGTTACATTTCTCACACCTAATTAGGTATAGTCTATGACATAGGGTTTGTAATGAGTTGTTAGTCTGTTTGTATTATGACGAGATGGGTTCCTAACTGTACAATTTGATGGTAACAGTAGTCATGAAGTTCGTTTAGATGGTTCTTTCATTTGTCTAGTTAACTAGCACTAACTTTGATTGCTTTACTGAGGTTTAACTACCTTTCTACTGGGATTCAGCCACCATCTCGAAGTTGGTATGATAATGACATATTGAAGAGCTTGCGTTAACATCAGAAATCAACATTACTAATCATTCGAGTTAATGCAACTGTCTTTGATAAAGTTGGTGCTACTGATGAAATGTCTACAATAAATTATCGGGGTTCAGAGAACATTTGATTACTGTCAAACATTTTTCTTTCCTCTTTGAAATGCACTAGCGTGACAATAATGATGATATTGATTATGCGTGTCTATTATTTTTGAAATTCTTTAGGAGCGTGCAGCTTTTTATCAGAATCGTGCAGCAGCCAAAGAGAATCAACGTCAGTATGAAGCAGCTATTGAAGACTGTTCCCTTGCCTTATCCTTATCACCAAACTATCTTAAGGCACTTAACCGAAGAGCACATTTGTATGAAAAACTAGAAAAATGGGATGAATGTCTTCTTGATGTCACAGCTTGTTGTATTTTTGAAAAATTCAAAAACGCTGTAAGTTGTATTGTTATAATACACTAACTGGTAATGGTAAGTTTTTATGTTATTATAAATCGAAATATTTCAATGTTTTTTTTGGGATGTATCTGAGGCAATGGGTTTATTTGAAATAGTTCTACTGGTTGACTTAATAGGCAACAGCGGACTAAGTCTCTGTCATTCAACTCTGACTTAAGCAGACTTCTACTGTTCCACCGACCAGTGCATAATGTTGTCCATACATAAGTTATCCAACATCAAATCGAGTGTATCGCTACATCAAATGTTGGTATACCACCCTTTTTCCGACAGATAATTAGATTACCTCTGACAGCTGGTGATGATTGAGACTAATTACTATCCAGTGACTGATTCGCGAACTTGGCATTTCTATTTGACTCAATCTGTTAATGAAAGAGAGTCGGAGACTGTTGGTTTTCACCAATTAAAGTTCAGTTGGGTAAGTAGAGCTTGACTAACGAGTGAATGCTCCGTGTTGTTTAGCCTTGTTTAAATGTCTTAAATCTCGTATTTTTCCTACAACAAATTGAAAAAAATGCAGTAAACGAAAGGTTGTAAAAAGAGTAAGGTTCACAATCATGATAGTCCGTGGGTGTGGATGTCTACAGCCTGACTGATGAATGCATAAATCCCCCCTCATATATAGTATACCACAAGATGGACATTGTGAATATTGGTTCAGCAGCAATCCACCCGTTGTTCAACTGGAACTTTCTAAATTTTATTTCAATTGAACCAGTATGCTCACATTGTTAGTTGCCCTTCAATGTGATATCACTTGGTGATGAAGGTGATTTACAAAATAATTGGATTTTCAAAGCACCATCGATTTGATTATGCACTAGTAGATCAGCGTTATTGAAGTTTTCTCAATAAAGTCAAGCAAAGAAAAAGTTTTTTCTTTTCAACTTCCAGAAATGCGTAATAAATATCAACCTGTCTTGTACACTTACCGATGATGGAGATAAAAATGAGAATACAAGTCAAAAGTATATAAATTAGGTCAACTTTTAATTCATTCTTATTGCTTCAAATAGTGTTCTAACTGGTTAGGATAAATCAGATAAATATGTTTCATTTGGTGTCTACGCCCATGCCATAAATCATCTCTAGTGAGATCGCTATGGAATCTCCACTTATGCAGAGAAAAGAAATGTATGATTATGTCTTTTGTACACGGGGATTTCTATTATCATCATATTCCTCTTGTCTAAATAAGATAACTTCAAAATTTCCTATTTAGGATAATATTGTCTGTATGGATCAGATCCTGAAGAAAATAGGACAGCAAAAGGCTCAGGAAGAGCGTGCCAAACTATTGTACGAGTTGCCATCAGCTTCGTTTATTCGTAACTACTTGAGGTGAGTGAAAATAAATGAGTTCATTTATTAATATTTCAAAAAATGAGGGTCATACAACTCAGCAATTACCTATGTATTTCAATTTGAAGGCTTGCGAGGATTTTACTGAGTAGTAATCATCATGAACTGATATCAGTTGGACAAACATTGGAGACGTGGGGGACACTGGACAACTGCTTCGTCCCAGTATGGGACACCTCGGCAGTGGGCGCCCCGCCGAGGATCGAACCCAGGACCTTCAGTTTCCGTGGCCAGCACCTTACCATCGAGCTTTCGAGTCATGAGCTGACAGAGGTAAGAAATGCAGGTCGTTGAATTGTGATCCAGTTGCTCAATGGTAACGCGCTGGCCACGGAACCTGAAGGTTCTGGATTCGATCTCCGGTGCGGCGAGGTCACGGGTGTGCACTGCTGAGGAGTCCCACACAAGGACGAGACAGTTGTCCAGTGCTCCCAGGTTTCCAATGTTTCTCCAACTGACGTCAGTCCATGATAAATACCAATCTATGTATTTGTATGCAAGACTATGCATGCATAGAAAAGGTGGACACAAAAAGAATGATATTTGAGTAGACAAATCGCATCAAAGGAATGAGCATAAACGAATGAATGTTGTGAAAATATTCAAGAACTCAAAGATGATACATACTGCATGCATTTGCATCAATGTGATCGATTTTTAGCCATATCTCCAACACTATCCATTGGATCCTATCATCTCAAAAACCCAGCCAGATAGTCTTCATTTCTGTACACAGCTCAAACTAGCAGTCAGCGGCTTCATGAATTCGTACCACGTCTTCATTTGACCATCCTTAACTTTCCTCTAAACTATTTCCTTTTCAGATAACGTATGTCGATGTAAACGGTGTCCCAGTATGCATAACTTACATCCAATTCACCTCAGTCGGTTCACAATTTCGTCGACTGAGTTGGCTTCCACACCTAGTATCGTACGCCACCACACAAAGAATACTACAAAGACATATGTGGTCAAAAACCTGTAACCTCTTGATATCTCCTATTTTCAAGGTTCATGTCTCTCGAATGTACAGTAAGGCAGAAGGGATCTTTACACAGTATGCTCGTTTTTTAATAGGTAGTCAGACATCTCACCGACTTCATACGTGTTGTACTCCGGTGAATGTTGAAGGGGCCTTTTTTATCTGGACTGGTATTTTGTCACCAACCAACCCACCCGGGTTAACGTAACTCTCGAGAGAGATGAAGAATAAGATATTTGTCAAATTATATACCCCTTATACGATTGTAGCTACTGCTCTGATGTGGTGGTTAGGGTCGCCTATTAAAATGACTCATTCGACCTAGAGTGGCTGAAATGCTTATCCCTTTAGGTGCTACTACACTAAGAGGGTCAAGTGGAGAACTATGCAACTAAAAGCAGCTTACTCTAACACCCTAATTTCGAGAAGATATTGCTCTAAAGTGGTGAGTTTCCAGTCTTGAGTCATGTTGCTAATTGTACAAAATGTGATGGCAGTATAGTGTTCCTCAAGGGTAATCACCATTTTCACATGCTCTAATACTTCCCCTCTTTTTTTCAAGAAAGGGTTAGAAAGCACATCCTACATGTAGCACACTTTTCTCTCACCACAGTTTTCCAGTGCCGACGGTGGACTTCCAAACTACACACCGAATGCTATGAAAACCAAACTGGAAACCTTTTGCAAATATTCTCTATGATCACCGACAAGCATATGTCTTTTAGTCTCTTCAATCAAACCCAAGTCGATATGACCAACTTTCTTTTTCACTTACTTCAGGAGGAAGAAGTGGCGTTCTACAGAGTAGGGAGCTGAAATAAACTTGTACAGTTATTTATACTAGTGTCTACACTTTCATACACTTTTTCTTGTGTGCATCTTCATATTGTAAGCTCTCAAAGAACTAAGGGCGTTTGGGTATTCTTCCATATTATTTTTTTATATAGTGCTTTTGCGTGCAATCCATTTGCCGCAAGTAATGCACAAGTATCTCGAAAAGATTCAACCTCTGAGAATTCAATAAATGGAGCTACTGATGAACACACTGTATCAAACATTTCTTCAGATAATTCAAATCACAGTCTACTCAATCTATCACATTACAAGGAGCCTATCCAATCAGCTTTTAAAACACTGAATACTGCATTGAACTATATGGCTAACGCTGAATATGATCAGTCAGCAGAATATGCTATGAAAGCAGTCTCCTTATTTGAATCGGTAAGGCTTCAATGTTTTTTCCTTCAATAATTTTGTTAAAATTTCATACTAGACAATTTTTTTCTAGTTCCTGCAGTAGATGACTACACACACCTCAAAGTGAATGTGGTGACACTGAGCTAACTAACAACGATGACATTGTTTCTAGTAATAACAGTGCAACTCAACACAACACATATTTCACGTACAAAGTTATGAGCCACACTTATTTTTTGAGGGCTTATGATACTTATCCACTTGCTCATGCTGAAGCAGGTGGAGCAGTCTTCGAACCTGGGACGCAGTACTCGAAAGTCGATTTCCTAAGCCAGTGAGTGGCATAGTTCCATATTATAATTACCTGGTCACACCCTGAAACACTAACCAATTACCTTCGAGACAGTAGAAAAAGCCTCCCTCTAGATCTCATCACCAGCAAACGTGTAGATGCTAGAATCTTCCAAAGAGACACTGCGGATGGTATTCACACATTTGTTATGAAAACTTCAATTCAGCAGAGGACGGCCACTCATGCAACTAGCCTAGTTGTGTTGACTATTCTCAAATTTGTTTGATGTCACCACTTATGTAAATAGATTATTGGGTTGACGGAAGAAGAAGTTGGTGGTATCGGTATCTAGGCGATATTTCACGGCTTAATTTTCCACTTCCTTTTCTACGCTATTAAAACAGTAAAATAAACATGAGATTTAGTATGATAGTTCATCAATGCAACTTGTTGCACTGAAGATAACACGCAAAAATACAATTCGACCGCCAAACAAACAGGTATACCAGTCTGACTACTCAGCGACCTTGTGCACATTCATGCAGTAGGCAGTAAACCATACCTATTGTGTTAGCGCTAATTATACTACGTGAACCCAAACATCGGTATGTGGAATAGGGTGCGGATGCACGACCCGTCGACTGGAAATCAAGTATCTGGACAGATGAGCCAAAACCCCATAAGGGGTTGTTCATAGTTTTCACGAAGGAAATTTGGACAAATGTAAGACTATACTGTAGACACACGCTTCAAGGTGTGTCCAGTGAAGTTTTTCAACACTAGTTCTAACTATCACAAAACTAGTGAACAGGCAGACCATAATTTATGATGGAGTTGAAATCAATATCTGAGAACTTTGTAAATTGGTTTCACGCTTTATTACAGATTGACTAATGTTTCCTGCTTTCTGATTCATATTCGTATATAGCCTTGCCACTCTATACCCCTATCAAGAATGAGGGACTTCCTAGGCCTACCTTGATACTCCTATCGTAGGAAGCTTTTGTGTAATCAAATGTAGGTTGTGTAACACTTCATTGTAATATTTTTTTGAAATTACATATTTCAGGTAAACAGAAGTGGTTGCCACTTGAACGTCCAAAGCTGGAGACCTTCACAAGCAGCATTATTATTTGTACTAGGAATATAAAAAAAAACATTTTAATTGTACGATAGTAAATTGTTAGGGATTCGCCACATCCATTGCACATGCACTATCCTTCTACGTGTTTATACTTCCATTCTTCTTTTATTTAGGGCCTTATTGGATCTACCTAGCCAGGAAACTTGCCAGTTATTTGGTTGATGAAGTAATATCTGACTGACGGATAAAATCAAGCTAGAACTTTGCACGCAAGTTCGTCGCCTCAAGTCACCGCATTTCACAGTAGCATTCAAATAACAAGTGAACAGAAAAAGACTGACATAAAGGTAGAAAAAGCTGTGTGAGAGAATGAATACTTTGAAAATAATGGCTGGTGCGAATATTCAAGCTGAACAAGACATCAAGGTGTGAAACCATCTGCTCCATTGTGACCGATTTTCACCTATATCTCTAACCACTGACTCCTATCGTCTCCGGGACCCTAACCAGGCAGTCTACACTTCCCCACACGACTTAAACCAACGATCGGAGACTTCATCGATCAGTGCCATGCGTTGGTTTGGCTACCCTGAACCCTTTTTCAACCTGATCCACCTATTAGCACGGCACTTCGAGGTAGGCGGTGGCTCGGCGCGTGGAAGCCATCTCAGTTGATGGAGGTTCACAACCTGATCAGTCAGCTTGCCTGTCTTTCGCTTGACCTCAACATTGCTGACACTGTGATTCCACCAAACGCCGGTGATCAAGAACCTGTAACTGATTTATATCTTCCGCTTTCAATGGCCATGTCTCACAGCCGTACAAGAGAACAAAACGGACAGCAGCACAGTATACTCGTTCTTTGATAGATAGTGGGATATCTCACCAGTTGGTGCCACAAATGACACAAGTTGGCAAATACTAAATGAGTCTTCTGTATCCGAGCTGAGATTTCATCAGCAACCAGCCCTTTTAGACTAGTGCAACTCCCCAAGTAAATGAAGTGGTCGACATCCCACCACTTCACTCCCTATCATGAAACTGGGAGTACTTGCAGCAGACTAGTCGGGGAACATCAATTTACATTTGACAGGTACGAAACTCATGCCAGACATACTCTGACTTCTCCTCAAGGTGCTCAGAAATTCTCGAATTTTGTCAGTGTCCTCACCTAACAGGACATTATCGTCTACACACTCCAAGTCAAGTGGATGACGTAAAGAGAGCAGATCAATCCCTGTGAAATCAGATGTACTTAAGGTTACTTTTTGATACCAGATGAAACAAGAAGGCCGCAGCATGGTTGCCACTGGTTTCGATTCTGAGCCATGTCTGCTATCGTCCCGAGTCACTGAGTTGCTTAGTCCCTCGAATCCCATTCTAAGGGAACCGTGAAGCATCAATAAATGTTGACCCAACACAAGCATCCTATGTCCCACTGGGCCACGTCATACACTGGTCTCCTCTCCGTTTCTTCCAACCATTCCCAGGGAAAGCAAACAGTGAACGGTTTGTGACCTGCTAGGACGATATTCGTAATACATACCCAAATCACCGAAGGCGGTATTTTAAGATCACCTCACTCAGTTAATTGATGATCTCCATCACACCGAAACACGACACTCCACCTCACCTGCATAAGTGTTTCTACCGAATGCAAACAATTATTCGGATTCGACGGTGATCAAACACAATCGTCAGATAGACTAGGCTTTTAAAACGTAGAATAGGACTGACCGCATCGAAGTAATGTTGTACACCCTTTCTTTTGCAACAAGGTTAACACCTCGGCAACTTTAGAGGTGATCCAGATTAGTGTGTGCTACTCTGCCTTTCGATATACGTCTGGAAATCTCTTGACATTTATACTTACCTAGGTGCACCGACTTTTCAACAACCCCCAGTGACTCATCACCAAGAGGTAGTACCGGTAAAGGCTCCTGTCAATCGTGTAAAGTACTTTGCACTTCTATGGTGCTAAGCATGTTCCATACACTGATCGCCAGCTGACTGTGATTGTCATATACTTTACGTAAAACTTTTTTAAAGATGGCTACAACAACAGTTTGATTACTAAGTGATGGAAAACTCAGCCTACCCCACCATTTCAAAATAAGTAATCAGTCACCTGGCTTCTGTTTTACCTGTCTTTGCAGCAAACTGATGGTGAGTTATCTGGGCTGGGTGCCTTATACCACCTTGACATTTGGAGTCCCTCCTGTGTTACTGGAAACATGTGAACTTTTTATTATGTGCCTGTGTTTGGAATTGCTGAAACTACTTACACTACTGAAGTGTTCATAATGTACATAATACTATTACAATTCTAGTTCTTCCTTTGAGGGTCTGAGAACTCTGAATCTAGACATTCGAAATCGTGAATTCCAGTTCTGGTGCTTCATAATTTTGTATTTCTGAGTTGGCGCAGTAGCCGAGTATGCATCTGCATTTTCACGAGAATTCATTGGTTGTACACCACTCAACATGATTATTAGAACGCTCAAGCAAGTCATTTCAATGCCCTAATTAGTGTTAATCTATTGCACTTTCTTATTTTTTTCCAGGTTCTTTCCGATAAGTCATTTAATGATGTGAGAGGTTTTCTCAATTCACCTCTGAGTGGTGATAATAAGAATATTTCATACCAGTCTATCATAAAACCCGATGGTGTTCCTGAGGCAAATGGTCATCATGAAAATGAAGACGATAACAAGAAAGAACATACTCCATTGTTGACAACTGATAACGATGAATCACATACTGTGGAAACTAGTGAATCTGTAAAAGCGCATATCAAACAAGCGTATAATCAAGCTTCGCTGTTGCATGCCACCTATCAAGCGTTAGCAGGTCGTTCTGAAGATGCAAAAGAACGCTTCCAAAACATTGGTGCCATTGATTCAGGAGCGTCACTGACAGTTCGTGTGAATGCATTGATCAAATCTGCTTGTCTATCAATGTCTGTTGATCAGGTAAATTCGGCATTTTGATTGTGTGTACGTGCGGGAGGGGGGGGTCATACTGTGTATGGGGAAATTAAAGTATCTTGTCGTTAGTGTCCAATTAAGTTTTCCGGCTCTGTGGCTTGATTTCATTCCGGTTTTCTGCCACTAGTTGATCTGGTTGTTGGACAAATTCTAAGTGTTATGGTTTTATCGAGAAAATTTACTGCTGTGTCAAACATTTAATTATCCTCGACTGTATTTCATTAGATTTGCAACCAGTGTCTCACAAGTCCCGCTTACAGAGATTTGTAATAACCATATGTCAGGTATCATTAATTGTCATACAACAGCTTCAGATTACTGCCACGGAAGAATTCGCTGAAAAGCTGTTAAAGAAAAAGGTGTACTGCTCAACATTGTTTGTTGTTGGCAACTCTATGATTTCATGATATAGCCGTTGATGGTTAGTTGATGGCATGAAGAGATCTTGTATTATTCAGCCGTAGATTTCTTCAAAGTATAGTGTTTTGTAAATGTACTTTAATTTATACTCCTTCCGTTCATTCACTGCCTCCATCAGTTAATATCAACACAGGACCAGGCATTACTGCGTAACTATCCAATTCGCCATACCTCATATTAACATATCAATTAGTAAAGTAATAAGATGAAAGAGGAAGAAAGAAAGAATAATCGGTCGAAAGCAGACGAAAAGTAATAATAAAGTGCTGAATTCGTCATCTCGGCCAAGAAGAAGATAAAGTGTGGATACATCTGCACCATTGAGATCGGTCCTGAGCTATGCTACTTAGAGTCTCCAGCCACTGGTTTCTCTTGTCATCTCCTTTACCTTACATGACTCAGACCAGCAATCCCAGATTTCATACCCTGATGCCATGAATTAATCTGGCCTCCTGGAGTCTTTTTCCAGCTTGAACTTAATTCAGCCAACATTAGGTGAAGAAGGAGATGGTGACTAGGCATGCGTAACATATGTCGATGAAAGTTCACTGTCTAGCACTTCTTTCTTACAAATCGGTCATCAGTGAGTCGATAGACTTCGATCAGTGGTGAGCACCAAGAATTAGATAGCTAAATCGGCTACCTAATTACTTGTGACTAGTATGTGTACACAGTCTAGTCCTACAGTTGTATGTCATGACTTAATTAGATTATCGGAGAAGTCTCTGACTCCTTTCAGCACTAAATGACACAAGTTCAAATCAAAGGCTTCCAGTAGGCTGACTCTCAACATTTAGCACTTTCATTCTTGGGTCTGCCTGTTTTTATTGACTACCTCTATGTGTGCTGTTACAACGTGTATTCAGTGTGAGTAACCCCATCCACTTTTATACAAATTTCTGTGACCGACACTGCACTATCTGTCTAGAAATGTTTGAGCACAAAACCATCCTTTTCAAAGCTGCTATATATGTTTACTTTTTTTCTTCAAGTAAACCGTAAATTTTTGTAAAATTGATTTCTGTAGATATAAGTGATATTTTTATAAATCTCAGTGTTTGAAATAGGGAATTCCTACGTTTTGCAGAGAAGTCTGGTTTAAGCTCTTTCAGAGAAATCATATATATAGAAAGAGAGAGAGATAGGTTAATGGGGATTTGTTTTTAAGGTAGTATTCATCACAAACTGATGAACCATTGAAAACTTAAGGGCACTGGACAACGGTTTCGTCCTAGCATGGGACTCCTCAGCCGTGCGCACCCATGTCCCCGCCAGAGATGGAACTCAGGACCTTCAGGTTTCACAGCGAACACGTTGACCACTCGCCCACTGGACCAGAGTTCAATTGTTCACAGTTTCCTGCTTCTGTTGATTTGTGATATAGTGTGGCTATCATCCCGGGTGTTCAGTTTGCGTCCACTTCCTTTATATATACATAAAACAGGTCAAAAAATCGTGTAGCTCATATCATTGTCTAATCATAATTGGATTATTAGTCATTCGTTGTTCATTGGTACATACGATGCATGAATGTGAGCCTATGTGTGTGTGTATGTGTGTTGTACTTCAGACATCGGTTACGGAATAACAGAGGTGTCATAATCGTTAATGTATGAAGAATATGTACTTCCCATCACATTTTTGTGCATAATTTTTCCTTTTATACAGGATGTTGCTGCATGTCTGTATGATTTCCAGCGTGCACAAAATGTATGGTCTGAATGTCCGGATGTCTATTTGCATCGAGGTCAAATTAATCTACTGGCTGATCAATTAGATGAAGCGTTGCATGACTTGAATATGGCTGTAAAACTGAAGCCTGAGTTTTCAGTAGCTCAGGTAAGTTATTTTCTGTTTTCATAAATAGAAACATGCAGTAGTATTTCTACAAGTGGTTAATGTTTCACACGTATCAGCTGTTGCATTTTCAATTAATCGTTCTCACTCTGATGTGTATGAGACTGTAAAGGTTTAGTATGAGATTGACAGGAAGCCGACCATCTTCAGACGCCAGCCCCGGCCACCGTTGGCAGGATAGCAACCTCATTGTAAACAAAACCGATAATATCCAACATTACAATTGACTCCGTGCAACAAAATTCCAGGCTGACAAAAAAACTTTTCTAGCAGGATAGCATGAATCTGTTTTATTTCAGAGTTTCCCATCAACTGCTTTCAGTTTAAAATAATTTTTGATATCAAAATATGCATAAATGTTGACATACTTGAGTAGAAAAAAGCAGCATTGATAATAAGACTATCTGCAGGAGAACTTAAACACTAAAAATGTATGACCAGATTTGATACAGTCGCGATTGACAACTTCTTTGATCCCATTCTAGTGGATGGTAACCACGAATAACCGAGTATGAAGCGTCGTTCAACTGATGAGGTAATATTCTACACTGGGTGTATTGATTGTACATTAGTTGTCTAGATTATCTAGTCAACCCAACAAAGCATAGCAAAACAATTAAATTTTCAATGGGCTGTGAACAGAATGAGAAGTTTCACTTCATGGATTTTGAAATTCAACAAACTCTACATGTTAACGGTAGAAAAAAATTCTCCTAGAGTTGTTTGTACCTTCATATCAACAGTTAATGAAAACACTTTTCAACCACCTCAGATAACTTTGGTAGAAAGAGAAATTTGAGAAGAAAATGAGTATTGTGGAGAATCGCCTTCATGTTGTAGATATTCACAAAAATTCTTTTATGTATACAAGAAAACATCAAATGAAAATGAGAAGTTGGACGTCGTTGAAAAGAAGCTTGTCTTTGTAAATCTCATCAATTCTCAAAGATAATCAGTTCTCTGAGAGACAATTCTAGAATAGATGCTGTATTATAAAGTGGAAAAATTCGGCGGCTAGATTGATGGCTGTTTATCGTACAAGTTGCTTGCTGAAACAATCAGTGTAAGGTCAATAAATCTCTTTTCTCTATACCTCTTTTGTACACTTAACAGTTCACGTATAGGTGCCGAAGCACACAAAAAAAGGAACTGAGAGACGGCTTTGTGGTTTTATATCCAAACAAGTCTTCAGTAATACGACTGCTAATCTCCTATTTGATAGTGGATATCCAAAAATCATTTAACAGTAATTAATAAACTAGCGAGCTCAAACCTACTGCGTTTCATTAAATGTAGCGGTAGCTATTGAGCTATTAAAATCAAACTTATGTATTCAGAAAGAAACACTTGGATAGACCAAGCCAGGTCGAAAGGCACTTTGGAATCCCAGCCAAACGAACAGATGACGGCGATCGCCTGCTAAAATAACCCGTTTTTGACCAGCGCAAACCTCAGACAGTAAGAGGAACATTGTATAACCTCAGCTCAACGGTGGACACAAATAGACCATATTGCTATCAGTCATCGTTGTAGAAAGTCGGTGGAAGGTTGTTGCTCCATCTTGAGCACGTGTTTGGACAGCGAGCACACCTATATCTGAGCTAGAATACATGCGGGGAATCTACAAAAACAAGAGTATTGCGAGCGTAGCTTGACGATGAGAATACTAAGGCTGCTCCCAACGAGAAACTGGCTAAACAGTAAAAGCATGCTGAAATTTGGTGCCATCTCTAGTCTGCCCTTAAAAACAACGTTAAAGATTGTAGTTGACTTTCAGAAGCTGTTTTAACTTGTAAGCAGGTAAGAAGACTTCAATATGAAATGGGCCTATGCAATTTTAAAGTTGTCTTAAACCAGTCTATTAAGTTAACGTGAAGATTTGACTGCAAAAGTTGTGTAAGACGTGTAGAGATGAAATTATTCGTTCAGTCTTTGTGCTGTTAATCACACTGAACTATATGTGTATAACCTTTTGTTACTCATTATTCTGGTCAGTCTCTAGTGTTCAATAATATTCTTTACTGTGTTTTGTTGTTGTTGTATCATTCGTCTAGGCTCAACGCTTGTACACACTTTATCGTTGTGCTTTAAGTTCTGGAGATATGAGTAAGGTGAATTCTCGCGTCGATGAATTTCGTCGACTGGTGAAAAAGTATCCCAATTGTCTAGAAACTCATTCTTTATTTGCTCAGGTAAGATAATTCTTACATTAGACAATAGAAATTGTATAGTAATAATAATAATAATAATAAGTATCAATTGTGCAAGTTCTACTGACCAAAGAATCCTTCCTTGGTATGTTGACAATCGTACTTTCAAAAGTATCCAATACTACTGCATTAACTGATTCACCAACTTTGCCTAACAACTCTTCATTCATTCCAACAAGCCATCAGTGGTGTGTTACCCTAGAAGGTTGCATGCTCTTGGTGTTATGCACTGAGACAATATAAAAATCAATTACGCCTACAGATTAGCATTGGTGTCAGGCTTATGTTGATTTCAACAGCTTTTTAAAAGTCATGAAACAGCCGCAAGAAAGTGTTTGAAATTCTTCATCACTCTGATTGGTAGAATCTAACAAAAGTCTAACACAGAAGAGAAACACCGCTTATCATTCAGTGACTAGTATGTGTATACATTCGAGGTCTTTGTAAAGTTGAACTCTTTGCTGATTGATTGTTTGCTACTGATGATGAAATCTGTGAAATATACCCACCAGGATATGAAAGAAGAACAAGTAAGTATTTCACCGAAGAGTCTCTTTTCGATGATTTCATTTTCAAAGCTGTGCAGTCGCAAATTTATACATTTTTCTAGTGTAAGGATCTGATAGTTAAAAACGGTTTGTCAAGCATGGCTGGAAACACAAATAGTGTCGACAAATGGGCTATCATTAACATCAAAAAGCCAAAAGCTGATGAGTAGTGAATATAATTCAAAATAAGTTTGAACAACAAGTTTCGTAACATGACGATATAATTGGAAAGTGAATTGTGATCAGGCAGAGCATAGCAACAAGAATGAGTAGCAGATTACTTAAGAAGTGAATAGTGTCGTAGCAAGGATGAAAGGAAAAAAGAGGGTAAAACAGACTAAAAACTAAGATGTCGAAAGGAGAAGGGGTTGAACAATCTTCTTTTGTGTACACATTCACGTTTCTCCATTTGGATGGCAACGGCTTCGGCGATGCAGTGAATATGAAGACATCAGACTTTGGGAGGTTTCTTTTCATCTTATAGATGACTTTGGACGAGGAGATTTTTGAAATAGAGTGATTTGTGTTCACGATGTGTTCAATAGCACACCTTATCGCTTCATTGTGACCTATTTGTAACCACGCGGGATAGCGTGGATAACAGTCGCATCGAACGACGTGTATAGCTGACTCCACAGGAGCAGATGAATTCATAAATGCACTTAGAAGCGGTCATATGTGAAAGTTTCTCCTTTGAGTTGAGTGTTGGTAGGAGAATACTAATCTCAGCGTTAATCCAAAAAATGTTCTGCTTAGAACCTTTGATATCTTACTTTTAGTGTTAGCGACAGAATCATATTTAAAGTTTGGATTCATATTAAGTACCTTTTTTGGTACTTCTTTCTGCTACTCATTCTTGTTGCTATGCTCTGCCTGATCACAATTCACTTTCCAATTATATCGTCATGTTACGAAACTTGTTGTTCAAACTTATTTTGAATTATATTCACTACTCATCAGCTTTTGGCTTTTTGATGTTAATGATAGCCCATTTGTCGACACTATTTGTGTTTCCAGCCATGCTTGACAAACCGTTTTTAACTATCAGATCCTTACACTAGAAAAATGTATAAATTTGCGACTGCACAGCTTTGAAAATGAAATCATCGAAAAGAGACTCTTCGGTGAAATACTTACTTGTTCTTCTTTGATAATGAAATCTCGGCCAAACAGTTCTATGTTAGGTTCACTTAGTGTAAACAAACCATAAAGCCTATATGAATCAATCATTTTCGATAATTTTAACCGTGTTCACGGTAATTTTAATAGCTACAGAGTACTTCAAACAGCAGAAGCTGTAGTCATTCAGCTTAAATAACCTGGATCGTGTGTGCGAAAGAATGAACGAATGAAGTCATTACTGCAACCTTGATGCAAGTTTTGGGAATCGAGAACTCTCTGGCACCCATTATCATCTGTAATCGCCTACACTATTGATTATATTTAATTTTTTTACGATTAACTTTCACATAACTCCTTATTGTTGTTAACATGCACTTATTTCCTGACTGAACAATACGGACTGAACGTAACAGTGGAGTCCGAAGGAGAAGTTAGCGAATAGAATGTGTGGAAACTGTCTTGAATTGTTAGAGGATATTTTGAAGGAACCGATGCTTATTTATTTTCCATCTACATGCATCGTGTTTCATGTATTCATTCTAATATCTTTTAATTCTATTATTTCAGATGAGTGTCCAGTCATAAACAGTAGATTATTACGTAATAATAGGGAAACAAATGAATATTGATGGGAACTAGTGGTGTGTGTGTGTGTGTGTGTGTGTGTGTGTGTGTGTGTGTGGAGGTGTACAAAGTAGTTCTAAAAGTTACATCATATTGACGGCCACGGTAATAAAAGTGGTCGAATAAAGTTCTTTTGAATGCAGAGGTTAGGTTTGTAGAGGTGGATTGCAATTTTCTGTGCTGCGTGAAGTAAGCGAGTGCGTAATCCATGTGGTAAATTAATTGGAATGTGATGAGTAATTTTGAAAGTTTTTCCAGTATCTACTTGATGTCCCATATCAAATAGGTGTGCAAATATGGAGCTCTTTATTGTTTTAATTTATCTCTTACTCAACCATGATGGGTGGTTTTCAGAAATTAGACCATGAACCTGCCTCATTGTACTAGCTCCGCAAGAGCAGTTGAATCGATATATACGCATAGATGTGGACATTTATCTCCTTTTCCATTGTAAAGTTGATTAAGAACAACATTCTTATCAATCTCATTTTTGAGAAATGTAAAGGTACCATCCATGTAACGACAGTACAGTTCTAACGGGTCAGTAGTTTCGTTCGGTGGACTATTCTCTAGTTTTGCCAGAAAAGGAAAAAAACCCGGTGGTCGCTGGTTTGAATCCGGCCGCCTTCCAAATTTTTATCTCACCTGTAATCATCGCTCAGTAGAAAGGAATGTACTCAGAGTGGACTGTGTCTAAGCATTCAAATTTCAGTCAGTAGGCTGTGCATGTTATGCACTTGAAATGCTTACCACCTACCACGGTTTGACTAGTAGCTCGGCTAGGTATTATCAACCCTGACATATTTAGATATGTGGTTCATTGTCTAGTGAATGAGTATGCTGCACTTAGTTGCCGAGGAAATTTGGTTTTCCGCTTTGTATTTGAAAAATGATAACAATTTTAAAAGTTACACAGAGTCAGTTAAAGCATGGTTTGCTCCAACAAATAGCAAAAGCTGTAACCATTCAAAAAGTAGCAATAATCACCGGTCTATTGAACCATCCCTTGGGGAATAGGAACTACTTTTTCTGTACGATATCATAATTGTTAACAGAATATCGCACTATATCACTTCAAACATCTGAGTTGTAGTATATTCGGAAAAAATGTTTGTCTTCTCGAATGATGATGATGACTAGTTCGTTTTCACTAAATGGTTTGAGCTTATCCAAACCGTGGCTGATTGGTTTGGACAACCATATTGGTGAGTTTGTATGGATAGGTGGAGTTGTGGTTCATTAGTTTGAACAAGTGACTTTCAATTGGATGAGTCAGGAATTCAAACTGTTCCTTTATCTTGCCTGTGTTTGGATTCCTCAAAATGATGCCAGGATACTTCTGGTAATATGACTGAGAACCGACCATACTGGCACAATTGAATTCACTCTTTCTCATTTTCGAAGTCTTGAATATTTTCGCTAACCTTTCGTCTGGTTTAATCTCAGTCGGTTTCTATCCAATTGTTTTTTCCTTGTGTGTGTTGATGTGCGGTGTAGTAATTTCAACTGATTGAACTGTTGTACTTCAGGTTCTTCATTGATCCCTCTATCTATCATGCACCTACCCCATGTTTTGAGGAGTCAGTTATTATCATTATTGGTTGATTAGAGAGTCAATAATGTGTTTTCCAACACCACGTGATGGTGTTGAAGCAGTCAGGCAGTGAGATTCTTGCCGATACACCATAGTTGTTGCAGGATAGAGTGTAATACACAGGCTTGTTCGACGCATCACTCGATTGTTATTGGTTTTTTTTATCTTTGGAATCTAGTGATCAATACTGTCCAATTTGTCTTGCATTAGAATAGAAAAATAAATGGGTCTGTAATTACTGGACAAAGTAAATTGAACGTCAAATCTGCCTCGTTCACTTACTACATACTATTTAGTTGAATAAAGTTCACACAACTAAAATATTTTTTCAATATATTAATTTTATCACTGGGTGGACATTCTAAGAATTTGGCTTTCATAGTTGATATGGGTGAAAAGAAAAGAAAAACATTGGAATCATGATGCATATATGAATAAAATTATGTTAATCTGACAGTCAAGCGACTGCGTTGTTTTTATTCGTTTCATAGTGTGAGACCAATTGAGGGCTATTAGGCACGTGAAAATACAGTAGATAAACTGTTAATACCCATCTGGAAACCAGATTTCTTTCAGTCTCATTTGGCGACCTTAACTTCAGAAGGAGAATTATTAGTGAACTGATATGTGCAGTTGACAAAGCTGTATAAAGATTTTCTTAGTAGCTAAGTACAAACCGATTTGTAGGTTACTTACTGAATATCAATGTTGAAATATGACTATAGGTTATGGAAAGTGAAAATTATAGATGCCATGTAATGCGACTGAGCCATACATGACAGCTCCACATACAAAACGGTGTTGCTGTCTTCGCTGACAGTATGAGGACTCGGGTTGCGCAAGCTCAATTCGAGCTTAAGACCCATTGGCTCGAGCAGTGAGCTGCATCTCTCTACAAATAAAACATGGCAGTCTTCGTAATCACGGTCTATATCGTGAATGCGTCCATTATGTAGGGTAGCGTAGGCGATATTAATCATTTACTGTATTCATTTTTCATGAATCATTCAAGTGATATTTCTTCTTTGTTTCTATGAATCAGTTTGTGATTTAACTCATCCTGCATGTGTATGTTTTTTTTTTATGTGTATTCACTAACAGATTCTGACAGAACGTGGGGATTACGCTGAAAGTGACAAAGTATTCGCAGATCTTATATCACTAGCACCAGATTCTGGTTTGGCCTATGCACATCGTGGCCTGTTACAATTAAGATGGAAACAAGATCGTGATGCTGCATTACGTTTCTTTATAGAGGGTACTAAAAAAGATCCAAAATGTGAATTGATTCATGAATTGCTTGGTCAATTGTCGGTTGAAAAGGGTCAATTTAACGAAGCTTTAAATCATTTCGATATTGCAATTAAACAGGCTAAAACTCAAAATGACTTAGCTCATTTAGTTGCTCTACGTGAAGGTGTCAACGCCCAGTTGAAAGTGTGCGAGAAATACAATATATCTATCCCGGATATAGTATCCAGTATACAACAGGAACAACAAAGATTCCTTATGGGTATGCAAGGTGAAAGTGTATAATAATACATATATATATATATATATATATATATATATATATATATATATATATATATATATATATATTCACATTTTAATTTTTCAGGCAAAGGTGTACAAACTCCTGGTGATGAAATCAACAACAGAAAAGTCACTGAAGAAATAGTCGATTTGCATAAAAACTACATGTTACATGAGTAATTCCACTGACGCTTAACACTCGGTATACTTCAATAGTTACTAAAATCTATCTTAGTAACTATTGAAATTTTTTCTCTACAAATTAAGAATATAGCTAAAGGTATGTATGAATGATGGTGGCACTAGGCTTTTCTGTGAACACAATCGTATCATATCAGTGCACTACCAGTATTGTGCCTCACCATATACAAGAAGCTAAGAAAAGTGTGAACACCCCAAAAGAAAGGAAGAGAGGTGGATGGATGAATAAAGTGAGATTACATCAAGAAAAGAAGACGAACAGACATGACATCTACTGTACACTTGAACTCGGTACAAGAAAAAAAAGCTGCACTCAATTATATTTCCCTGGTTTATTTCTTTGAGTATTTGACTTGGGAATAAATTTTTAAAATGATGTGGTAACCACATGAAGTCACACATAACAGATGAGAAGAGACAACTATATATATATATATATATATATATATATATATATATATATATATATATATATATATATATATATATATATATATATATATATATATAGTTGTCTCTTCTCATCTGTTATGTGTGACTTCATGTGGTTACCACATCATTTTAAAAATTTATTCCCAAGTCAAATACTCAAAGAAATAAACCAGGGAAATATAATTGAGTGCAGCTTTTTTTTCTTGTACCGAGTTCAAGTGTACAGTAGATGTCATGTCTGTTCGTCTTCTTTTCTTGATGTAATCTCACTTTATTCATCCATCCACCTCTCTTCCTTTCTTTTGGGGTGTTCACACTTTTCTTAGCTTCTTGTATATGGTGAGGCACAATACTGGTAGTGCACTGATATGATACGATTGTGTTCACAGAAAAGCCTAGTGCCACCATCATTCATACATACCTTTAGCTATATTCTTAATTTGTAGAGAAAAAATTTCAATAGTTACTAAGATAGATTTTAGTAACTATTGAAGTATACCGAGTGTTAAGCGTCAGTGGAATTACTCATGTAACATGTAGTTTTTATGCAAATCGACTATTTCTTCAGTGACTTTTCTGTTGTTGATTTCATCACCAGGAGTTTGTACACCTTTGCCTGAAAAATTAAAATGTGAATATATATATATATATATATATATATATATATATATATATATATATATATATATATATATCACTAACACAGAAAATATCTACTTTAAACATTTTCTGATTTTTTTTCACAAATTTTGATTCCTTTAAAAAAGAAACAATGTATTCGTCTTGTTTGCCAGTGTGTTACTGTGTCTTTGGTTGCGCTGGGTTTGGAGAGATTTTTTTAATTATGAACCTTTGGGTGTTGACTCATGTTTGATCATAGTGATGTTTAAGAGTAATGTTTTGTGATGCATCTGTTAACTAGATACTTGCTGAAGAATGCACAAGGTTTCCTATGCATTACTTTTGGTCATCGAACAGCATACAATGCGCGGTGATGTCGTGTCATTCTACTAAATGAAGGCCTAAATTTTCAAGCAGTCAGTAGAGTTTTCAAGTTCCACCAACATCTAAGCCTACCTATCTAATTTAGTGAATCTTAAAAACAGTCAAGGATGCTTCTTAAACTTCATGTCAAAGACTAGTAGTGAAGTGGCATCATTGTTATTACAATAAAGTGATGTTGAGTGGTGCAGAATCAGCCATTAAACTATGCTCTGAGTCGATCGCCAATTCACTGAATACTCAAAATAAATTTCACCAAAGCTTTAGGTGCAGTGTGAAAAACATAGGATGGTACATCAAGTGAGCTCTTCCGATCATTTCAGATGGAATAATATACTCTATTAGTGAGATTACCAACTTAGTGTTTACAGAAATCATACGAGTGTCTTTTGCAACACCATTGATCGTCTTCATCAGAAGAAGTATCTTTAGTCGTCGATGTGGGTTTTCTAATCTCATATCGTATTTATAGACAGAAGAACGTAGGATACACCAACGGTTGCACGGCCAAGTAGAAAGGTTGGTGAATGCTTTCCAAGAAGTTCTGCTTCGAACTCGAATTAAGAATACGGAGTGAAATTCTTTTCAAGTTCCTACTTCACACAAAAGCACGCCAAGTCTATCCTTAATAGGGAAAGCACTTCAGCGAATTTCCCCATAGTTTGTAAGCTGCTTCCTACATTTGACACGCTTATCCCTTTAAAGTGGCTACTAAGTTTTCTCTGAACACTTATCTCAGTGTACGTCAGAAGTGAATCATCCAAACAAGTGACTTTGGCATTAGTAATCGACATCCTATATTATCTATGTATGACGGTTTTGATAGCCCATGATGGAATATAGTTATTCACAGACTAAATAACTCAACACATCTTTTAATTCTAAAAAGCTCACATGTGAGGAGATAGACCACTCATGACGCTACAACTAACTCCAACCAGTGAGATGCTAAGAAGTATACTTATTTCGTCGAAACTTGATATTGGGCCTGTGAAATACTGAATTTCTCCCACTTACGATTTTGAAATTATCATGAAAGTCGTATCCAACTTGAAGGTTACACCAAAAAAGTCTCACGAGGAAAGTAATAACACCAGTGGTTGTAGATTGGTGCAACACGTCATGGGATATGTAGGAAACAATGATTTATAGTTAACGTATCAGTGTATTTTCACCACTACGATCAGTTCTGATGTATATTACCTGAAACTTCCAGTTATCTATATCTGTTTTCTAGCAGGCTTAAAACGGATCAGAAACTTTGTCGATTGGCGTCATGTTTTTTTCTGACCGCTCCGATGTTTTCCCACTTTTTGTCCTACAATGTGCATGCGGAACATATTTCGACCACCGTTTCCGCAGATGTTAACCGCCTTATCTAGCACTCTGTGCCTAGCAAGTTTATCCTATCAAATAAGAGAATCAAACTAGTTTTAGTTTATGTTCAACTTATTTAGTGAATTTATCATTGGTTTAAATTCAGCGATCATTTTCTGTTATATATGAATATTTTCTTTCGATACATAACAGCAATTCAATAAAGTATCTGCATGTTGATGAAAGTATTCGTGTCAAATAACGTTTGAAGTGCGTGCTTATCTTTATCAATGATCAAAAGAAATACATGATATTGGCAAATCAAAATAAACTGGCAGGAATAATTATCTATGAAATGTGTTTAATAAGTTTTTAGTTGAACGGCATATCAACCTACAATAAACATGTGATTATTCATATGTATGATTGATTTGGAGCCTAGAAGATAGTTGAAATAACTGAATAGAAGTGAGCAGTTTAGAAATGGATTTTTTTAGAACACTATATCACATGCGTAATTTTCAACAACCATATAAAATTTGGCGATTGGATTAACTTTAAGATGGTGTTCATCACCTCCAGAGTAAATTACTACTCAATGCTCACCAGTGACATTCTTCTAGATGAGTTTCTTCAAGTCCTAGTTAGGAACCATAACCATTGGGATCAACCATGTCGGACGTAAAGGCACATACTCACTGATGGCAACGGATTAATGCTTATGCTAGATCACGAACTGATAGAGGTAGGAAAATGTAGAGTGTTGGGTTCTGACCTAATGACTGAGTGGTAATATGCTCATCTCAAGTCCTAGGTTCAATTCTTGGTGAAATCGTTGGTGTGCACTGCTGAGAAGTCCCATACTAGGACCAAACAGCTGTTTGGTACTCCCAGGTTTTTCAGTGAGTGTTGGTTCGTGATGAATACCAACTTGAAACCAAATTAAAGGTTTTTTAGTAGGCGGGAAGTTACGAACATAATATTATGTAACGGCCAAGATACTTCTTGACCGGTCGAACTTTGGCAGGTAGGACGGAGTTTTGAACCGATGATCCACTTATAGGCAGTGTAAATGCTCCAAAGTACTGGCGATGTTACCGAACAGTTCACGGGCAATACGATACGTGCATAGAATCGACTGTAATCACTAATCAGAACGTCAACTACAACAATACTGCCGACACAGAAAGAGGAGACGAACTGACGCCAGAGCTTCTACTATCTCAGCAACGGTTACAAGCGATGCTGAGTACACATACATTACAAACGACCTTGACAAATACTAAGATGAAACATAGTTCAGAAGTCCTAGCAACCAATCAGAGCACACTCTCGAGAAGCACTCGGAAAAACTAAGCAACCAAACAACGTCGAAACAGCCATAATACAACAATGAACAAAGATAATTCAAAACAGCCCGCTATAAAACACTATAAAAATATAAAAGCGTTACAAACTACCTAGCACTGGAATCAACGATGCTCATTTCGTCCTATCTGGGACTCGTCAGCTGGATGTACATGCTTCCCAGTGAGTGATGTTGTTCCCACCGGGATTGGGACTCGGGAGCGATGGCTTGAAACGCCAGCGCCTTATCCACTACACCACCGAGCCACGATAGTCACTTCTTGTGCGACGGGTATAGTTTTTAGTATAAGGGTTATTATATGATACCGTTGTAGATTGTACCGAATTGATCGGTCTGTATTAGCATGTGGTCTCCTGTGCTTTATCTGGATAATTTTTGTCGCTCTGTTCCTGGCGGCTCTTGCTTGAGGTGTTTCCATTTTTGTGGAGTTGTGAGATGGCTGGTTTTATTACGTTCATGACGTAAATTATTTGCCCTTTTTTTTGATATGAGTTTTGGGTCCTATTCCTACGTGTACCACAGTATTTCCTGCAGATAAGCAGCATTCTAATTTTATTATTGTCTCTTATTCAGTGAGGTGTTGAAAAATCGTTCACAATGGTGCAGATGTATTCACTCTTTGACGTCTTCTAAAGCCTGAATATTCTCACTAACCTCTATCTTCAAATTACTGATTCTCTCACACGACTTTTTTCCATCTTATCATCACCCTTATTCTATCCACTTGTTCTTTGTATACCACTGTAATGTGTGGCAACTTGAACTGATGCATTTGTGTGCGAGGTTCTGCATTGATTCTGTTTATCTGTCTCTTTGGGGAGTTGGAAAAGGTAGACTCCACTGCTTTTCGGACTGCTGGTGTCAATTATGTGGTAGCTCACTGGGTCTATAAGAACGCTTTTTCGAATCCATAGTGTGGATAACATTGCCAACAATCCTCATACCCCTTTCACAGTTCAAGTTCCTTCTGAAAATCTTTTCTGAGTCTTAACACTAGCTCATGATGGCTATGTGAGGTCCCTGAATGGTGTCTCGTCTCCTAAGACCGCAATCCACAATGAACACTAGAACCTTCAACGTTCTCACTGTTTACCAGTTTAAACAGGAAGAATATCTAACTATTACTGGGTGTATGATGTAAATACGAATTACGCGTGTAATACTCAATTATTGTTGTCTACTTGACCTCACCTGGACAATATGGTAAATCTGAAAATTCCTTTCTCGAGTATCGGGGAACTCCGCTGGCTAATTCTGAAGGATTTTTAAGTGTAGTTAGAGCGTTAATTCCTTAAGCAAA